GGGGGGGGCAGGGAAGAAAGCCAAAGCCTTTGAAAGGCTGAGGCTGAAAAGAAAGATGAGCCTAGCAGAGCAGAGAAACAATCTAAACAAAATCCTGTCTCCCAAATAATTTTGTTCTCTCACATACCCCTGGTCCCTACATAAAGCAAACACGTGACCTATACTAATTTCCCCCCAAGACTAAATATGACGACAAAAATATAAAGCTATCATTATCATATAAAGTAAAAATCTGATAAATTCTACTCACAAGTAGTGGTCTTGGTTGTTGTTGGTGGAGCTGTACTTGTTGTTTCTTCTAGAGAAGAGAAGAATATACGTTGTACCAAATGAGGAGGTCAACAAGGGAAATACAAATTGAAACTCCCCAAACACCGTTCCAGCCTCTAGCATTTTGTGGCTGACAAACTAGATCTAAGAAGTTTCTTTCTATTTTAGTAGATCTCAGCATTTTTTTCCTCCATTAATTACCAAAACTCTTTGTGAACCCACCAAAACCTGCAGCTGGCCCACAGCGCACCAGGTGCCCTCAAAGTGAGAAGAGTCTCTCTGTTTGCTTTTAACAAGGTATCTGCTGGATTCACCTGGTCTTATCAGAAGTTGGTAGCTCTACTTCTTGCATGAGAACAGCATGTGAATAACTGTGTCCTTCTCCCTTTTTCCATACCAAGAACAACAACTCATAGAACCATAGAATCACAGAATGGTTTGAGTTGGAAGGGACCTCAAAGATCACCTAGTTCCAACCCCCCTGCCATGGCAGGGACACCTCCCACTAGGCCAGGTTGCTCAAGGCTCCATCCAACCTCGTCCTGAACACTGCCAGGGATGGAGCATCCCCAGCTTCCTTAGGCAACCTGTGCCAGCGTCTCACCAACCTTAGGCTGAAGAACTTCTTCCTTTTATCTAGTCTAAACTTGCCTTTTCCTGACTTCCAACCATTACCCCTCATCCTGTCACTGCAGGCCCTTGTAAAAAGTCCCTCCCCAGCCTTCTTGTAGGTCCCTTTCAGGTACTGGAAGGCTGCTATAAGGTCTCCCTAGAGCCTTCTCTTTTCCAGGCTGAACAAGCCCAACTCTCTCAGCCTGTCCTCGTAGGAAAGGTGTTCCAACCCTCTGACCATCTTGGTAGCCCTCCTCTGGACTCACTCCAGCAGCTCCACGTCTTTCTTGTGTTGGGGGCTCCAGAGCTGGATGCAGTATTCGAGGTGGGGTCTCATGAAGGCAGAGTAGAGGGGCAGAATCACCTCCCTCAACCTGCTGGCCACACATCTTTTAATGTAGCCCAGTTACCCCAAAAATCTTAACAGAAATGAAGATGACAGAAAACTGTCTGGGGAGCTGGTCAGAGCAAAGACAGTGAGGAAGAGAATCAGAGACTCATAGAAGCTGCAGATCCTATTATCTTCCCTCATTTTGCACAGCTACAGACAAAAAGGGGGCCTCCAAAAGCTACCTGTGACAGGTTTTGTTCACATTTCCACCATATTTAAGCTACTCTCATTCCCTTTGAGATTTCATCCATACGTCGCTGCTAAGCCCAGCTGGTGGCATGAACTCTGGGTCAGAGAAGTCTGCCCTGCTAAGGCTCCTGTACAGGACACTTGATGGAAAGCCCTCCAGGTGGCACCAACAGATCGAAGGTGTCCCATGGGACAGGGCTCTGGCAGGCTGAGAAAGGTGATCTTCCTGGTGTTTCCTTTCATCTAACCTAGAGAGCTGGGTTTTCTGATACAGGGCTTTATGGGGTTATTCAGACCCCGGGAGAAGGACAGCACATAGAGCACCATTACCCTTCTGCATCAGTGCTGATGGGTCTCCAAACGGCCTCTCAGAAAAATGTTTGAAAGGATTTAAAATAAGTACATTTGGCTGTTTAAAAACTGGTTTCAAAGTATAATTAACAATTGAAGTTACTGAAAGAAAACTGGTTTCCATACTGCCTTAATCACAGCGTCACTGTTACTTTGTAAGAATTGCGGTTTTGAAAAAGATGAGCTGATGGGTCTGGTAAGATGAGAGCGATCACGGTAGAGCATGGAAAAACTAAGCCCCAGGGTCAGGTGACAGCACCAAATCCATGATCAAAATGAATAAGGGCATTTCGTGAGGACCTGCTCTGTCTCTGTATAAGTCACTGGAAAACAGTCTACAAACCTGTATTCAGCTAAAATTTGTCTGTTCAAACCATGGATAACTTTCCTCTGGGCTTTCAGATACTCAGAAACTGCTGCATTTATACAGCCTCCTTTTTTTTAGATGGCAGTATTATCCAAAGGTTTTGGACCAAGCCCTAATTTATTGAAGCTTTTCATTGCAGCAATGACTTGCATCCTTTCTTGGAGAGGTGTGAACATGTATTCAATTCTATGCTACATTTTAAGTGCATGCATACACTACCATATAGTTTCTATATAGGTACATTTCAGCAGCTGGGAGCCCAGTCTGAAGGACACTGAACCCCTGATTATATCAGTAGGTTGGCTACATTGCCTACGACTGGACTAGTTTTCAAATGCAAGCAACAGCTTAAAGAGAATGTTTAGCAATGCTAACTCTATAAATAATGTACATTTTTATATAACTTTTAAGTTACCTGTTGTTGAAAGCGTTGTTGTTGCTGTAGAAGTTACTGGTGTCCAAACTGCAAATATTGTCATCACAAGAAACCAAAAATAAAAAAAAAAAATTGAAAGAACATTGCATGAATTAAGTAATATGGATGGAAAGTTTGCATACATGGGATCCCCTGGTGACACTGACAAAGGGATGGCTGCTGATTTACAAGGGAGTGGATTAGATCCAGCTGCTGTTGGAGATAGAAATCCTGCTCCAGGGACAGCCTGAGAGGTGGGAATGTGCCTTCACTGACTAATATGTATGACAAGACCTGTAACATTGGCCCTTAAATGCACAGTTTATGGATTTACAGTGATTTCTGGATGTAGAAGAAGATCCTAACAGGGAGATGTGTCATTTATCCAGTGAGCAGGGAACTTTCCAACACCTCCCACCACACTGCTCCTCATGCATGCAAGGCTTTAAAGCTCAATTAATTAGATGGTAGTGAAAGCATTAAACAGTAACTCAGTATCTTCCAGCTCAATATCAACATTCCAGCTTAGTTTTCGATATCACTAATTGCACCTCAAATATTTATGGAGGGAGTAAATAATAAGAGCATTAAAAACCTGAGCCCAGAAACAGCCCTGAATGGTTATTTCTTTCCACTGTGTCCATGGGGGGGGCGGGCACAGAAAGGGAAAGCAGGTTCATTAGTCCAAGTCAATTCATTTCAGAACTTTCCATCTGAAAGAGGAAGGGGATGGAAAGACAGCAGCTATGGGAAACACTTTTGATCTTTTTCCCTTTTCCCTCTCCCACACAAAGAATGCGCCAGCAGCTGCTTAGAAAGAAATGCCTTGTTTCTCACACCACCATGCTGGCACCTCTGCTCAGCCAGGGAAGCCTCACCTGAAAAAGGGGAAAGTGGTTTTTGAACACAGGAAGACCTTTTTACTCTGTTGGAAGCACCCTCCCTCCCATCAGACCCACTGACATTTGTATCATTCCCTAAAGAGATGAAAATGGCTGGGCAGATCACTGCCTCTGCAACCAAATCAAATTACATTCCTAACAGGAATAAGGCTATGGGAAATGAGAATAATATAAGATTACAGTAATTCCTATTATATTCTAATAATTACAAATAGGAACAGGGACATGTGCCATAATTTTTTTATCTAGGGGACTGCTGTTAAACACCAATGTATTAGTTGTAACAATATACTTAATCAAATACAAAACACATAGTTCAAAGAGCACCTCACACTCATTTAAAAAAAACGTGCATTTCATCCAGAAAATACATATTGCTCTTTAATATTACCCAATACAAATATTCAGAAGATTGTATCATTTGCTTTACAGTATATTATTTTGAATTTTATTTACTAGCCCAATTACAAAAAATGGTGAGAACAACAACTTAAATTCACTAAACATTCTCAGTAAAAGCTTTTGAGTTGATGGGTAGAACGATTGATTTGCTCAGCTCATAGGTGTGACCTGCTCATGGTTTTCTAAAGAGCTAAGCCATGCTGGTAAACCCTCTTTTATCCTTAGATCTCAACACTAATCTGTTGTGAAATACAGCAATGAAGGTGATCAGAAGTGAGACTCTTTACCTGCATCCACCTGAATTTGAAGACTTATCATTACCATCCAAGCCAAGATCATGGTGGCAGCCATCTCCTTGGGGATTCTGATGCAGGGGAGCACC